CCTTTACCACGAACATCAATAGCTTTCATACCCAGCTGCTTTGCAATTGGTATTGCTTTTGGGGCTATTCTTCTAAATAGACCCTGAACAACATCACCTAACCCATCTCCTTAGGTTGCTCTGTAAATCGGTATTCGAGAGTTAATTGACCTGACCATGGTAGGTTCACGTTGAGCATCATGCACAATCATTTTATTATTAATTAACTTTATCACTAATTGTATCTAATCACTGTGACTTAGTTACTATAGTAGTCATCGGCAAGTTCATTAATAAGTGGTCGATACACATCAATATCCATAATACCACCACTAAATGTTCGTTTACAAATATCTGCTGCTTCATTAATGATTTCTGGATAATTATTACCAGCTCGTTTTTCTCCGATGAGAATTTCTAGTCGTTCAACATCAGTAAGGAAATTATTAGGACACTGAGTAAAAAGACCACTACCTAGACCACTTCCAGTTGCACTAGAAGTGTCTTGAAATACTTCTTCTTCACTTGGATTCGGTGGTGTTGTTTTACTTGGGTAGATAGAATTGGTATTCGTGATTTTGGTGATCCTGGATAATCACTTTGTGATTGCTCAAATGGTTTTGGTTCTTTTTGTTTTGGAGGTCTTTTACTTTGTTTTTCTCCTCTTTTCTTGATTGGACTAAATCATCAATTGTCTTAGCATAATTTCGATATAATGGATCATCAGCTCTAGCTTGTTCAACATTCATGCGTATACGATATAATACTTTCTGCCATTGTTCACGGGTTTTAATATCTTTGGCATGTTCAGGTTTCATTAATTTACCTCTTTGACTAAAACCATCGACAGCAAATTCAGCTAATTGTTGTGCGTTTAGGTTATTAATTATCTTAACAGTTTTTTCATCAAACTTATCTATTAATTCAACTTCTGGTTCAGTGGCTAGTGCTACAGCACCTTCTTCTGTCTGGTCTGCATATTCAGGTATGTCCGAGACTGGCATCGCAGCAGCTATTTCAGCTGGAAGTTCTTTAAGATTTTTTTTTCTTTTCTTGGTTCTTTGTGCTATTTTTTGAGTTGCTTCAGCGGTTTTCTCTAACACACGTTGAATATCTTTAGTGGTATCTGTTATCGGTTTAAAATATTGTTTTGTATCCTCTGCAAATTTAACTTGAGATTCTCGACGATGTTGTTATTGTTCTTTGACAGCATCACGGACAGGTAGATATTTTTTAATTGCCTCTAATCGCTCTCGAGCTAATTTAGCTGAGTGTGGTTCGCCAATATTCATTATTAAATAATATTTATAATAGATGTTTAATTGAATTGAGTGCTGGTTCACAAGTAAACAAATTCGCTAAAAATGCTTTTCTATTCTCTGACAAATCAAAGATAAAATAAATAGTTATAAACTATCATGTCTGTCTGCAAATTTATTATAAAATTATATCGAAACGCAGATAAAAACACCATTTAATATTAATTGGTATTAGAGTATATTATAAAGCGCGATAACTATGCTCTGAATCTATGTTGAGCAATAGATAATTATTTCCCTTTGCGCATGAAGTCCAGGTTTGATACGGATAAAATAAATCTTTTTTCTGACAATTATTACCTAATTATCTGTTACCTTGCGTGTCGGACTGCGATCAGGGATTCACTTTAAAAATGTCTTTCCAGATAATGCAATCACTCGGTCGCCTGATATATTCGGCCCACAACCCGGTTCGGACGCTTGATACCTGCTAGGCTAAAGCCTCGCAAGCTAGCTACACTATACTGCCCTCACTTAAGGCACCCTGTGCCTCGCATCGGTCTATACGTAGTACATTCGAGCCACACACGCCAGACCTAGCCGCCTAGGTACACCTGCCTGCCTGCCTGCCAGCCCCAGATCGTCCGCAGCCTAGGCGAACCCTGTACCAGAGAGCGCCTAGGTCAGCCTAGTCAACAGTCCCAGTATTATCCGTATAGCGACCTATGAGACAGGGTGCTTTACTCGGTTTGCAAGGTCGCTATACACATTCTCTATAAATGCTACACCAATTTTGTTCACATTCACTGAAGCACCCTAAATTTGCATTTTTGTCTATATAATAGTGCCGGAATGTATATGTGGGTAGCTGGTTAGAAATGTTCATATCCTCTCCTTCATTTCAAACCATACGAGGAGTCGATCGTCCCGAAGCGACCACAGGCTTTGTCACTACGAGCTCGGGGAAGAATCAGCTCTGATGGTATCGTTCACACCAAGCTCACAGCAAATGCATTGCGTCCCATATAATAGTGCCGTAAACTGTATGTAGGTAGTTGATTAGAAATGCCCGAGAAAGAAACAGTCCCGCTAGGCGAGAGCCCGGGAAGAAATTTCAGGTCTTGCGGGAAGAAAGTTACGGGCTAAGGGAGAGTTTCTAACCAACTACCCACATATAGTTTACGGCACTATTAGAGGGGAAAAAACAAATTTGCAGTGGGTTGGGTCTGGACTATATTGTCATAGCTGATTTCCCGAGCACGTGAAACGACCCAACCCGTGATTAAAAAGAGGAGAATGTAAACATAATCGAACTGAGTTGTCTGAATAAAATCTTTAGTGAACCCTTTCATCACTATGGACCGAAACAGTCTGGTTAGTAAGCCTGTAAACACTATGGACCGAAAAAAAAACAGTCTGGGTAGTAAGCCTGTACATCCTATGGACCGAAAAATAACAGTCTGCGTAGAAAATCCGTAACACTATGGACCGAAAATGAGAGAAGACGTATATAGAGACAATGGAATGCACTTGTGGGTGATAGTGATGACGATGAGTAATTTAAAGGTAGTAATTGTACGCTCCACGTGATTTTGTTTGGACGAAAAGGCAGAGTAGACCCATTACATGCCTATGTACATGGGGATTTTGTACACATCTAGGTATTTGTATTATTGTACACAGTTAAAAGCTTAAAGGATTATTTGTGGCTAGTGTATGTGTGTGGGGGAAAAATATAACCTTGTTATTATAATACGATATGTCTTAAGTTTATAGTGGGAATCAACAAATAAAGATTCAGTTAATCACAGACTGACAAATAGGTTTAGCAGACGAAAACATACCTGAACAGGGGAAATAATCGTTTAATTTACTCTGTGGAGTTATCTTGCTTTATATACATGAGTAGAAGGGAGGGTGAACGACAACAATTGGGTCGTTTTGTACTAAACAAGACCGCATAAAAATCGTGAAAAATATAGTCAATAATAGAGTAACAAAACTGAGCTAACCTCATGCGGTTTTTAACCGTACGGAAATATAATAATTAGAGATTTTAGTTTAGCGTTATTGACTTATTTTTTCAGCCAGTTGTAGGAACCTTTATTTTCGTTAAAGAAACGAGCAAAATTTTGTAGGATTCACCCTCCCTGCTGCTTCAGGATCAACAATTTACAATGTGAACATATTTTCGTCATTGTTGGAATTATATTACCAATGGGTTATTGTATAATCCCCATAATGCTTAAATAAGAAAATCAAATTATATAATTATTTCCATTTAATGTGTGTGTTCTTTACGACCACGCAAGCTCCTTAGTCTCAAAGTACAGATGAAAATAATTTACAAATAAAGAAAGAAATGCCCAAATTATAGTAAAGATCAAACAGAGATAAATTTGACCCAGCAATATATACCTAGAATAAAGAACCTGGAACATGAAATCTCTCAACACATCATAATGGACAAAATATCGTCCCATATTGAGTACACATTCAGTCTGCCCATCATATTGAAGTTTTACATCGCAATCTTGATTTAAGCACAATCTAATATAGACTAAAAACCAAAACAAAGTAAACGAAAAACTGAATAAAGCTAAGGTTATTGTGATATAAGGTACTAAGAACTGTCGCGTGGCATAAAAATAGTTGTAGCCTGTACAGTCGTGCTCTGGAACCCAGGCAATCAAGGAAAATAATTGGCAGTAAGGAAGGGGGCAGTACAAAAAGTTTGTTCTCTGTCCCATGTTAAGATAGTTACGCCACTGGAACTAACACTTACAGTTGTGTATTAACACTAATGACATCACCTGATAACAATTGACCTCCTAAAACAAAGGTACTTTTAGCCCAATATCAAAATCTTGCTTACTGTAAATGACCAAGTAATTTGGCATTCAGAATTTTCAAACATAAAGCATACACCCATCCTTTTTTACAATAACCAAATTATTTCTATGTACATAACTTCTAAATAATTGGTGATATTAAAAAACAACCATAGAACATTTTTCTTACATTTCACTTTTTCAAACAAGCTATGTCAATTTAGAATATGGAATTAGAACACTACTTTACATTTCATATTTAGTGGGAGTGTTTTTTATGATTTATTTTTTGAAGCTGTACTCTCATGCCCACTTATAAGAGATTGTGTTCCATGAAGAAAATAATACTGAAACACAGGATGTTATTCTATTGTAAATGTCAGGTTAAGGAAAGTTTATTTTCATTAGGAATATCCAGATCTTGTTCACAAAAATGGATAAATTTCAACAATATTATAAAATTCAATTTGGATGGTATTGTTATTATAGAAAGGTGCCATCATTATATTTATTGCAAGATGATATTTTTTAAATCATAAAAATTCAAATGGAGAACCAAAAAAGTAGATGGATTTTTAACTCTATTTTGAAAGACCACCTATGATCATCCTATCTATCCTTTCTTGCAAAAATGCCAAAGGCATGAATGCATAGAATATGATTTGAGATATCCAATACTGAGTTGTTGTCAACAAAAAAAATGCATCAAAGATGTGATTGTTAAACATGCACTTTACAAACACTTCATGATATCTGCAGTGTGACAGTATAGTGATGTCTAGCAATGGGGCATGTTGTCGCAGACATGTGGCATGATGTCGCACACAGTCACATTAGCTTGATACCAAGCCGACCAGTCCTAATATTAACGTCTTAATGCTGAGCGCCAAGCAAGGAGGGTTAGTACCATTTTAAAAAAAAATATTCGGTATGATTCGGCCGGGGTTCAAACCCGCAGCCTTCTGCATCCGAGGCGGACGCTTTAACAACTTGACCACCGGAGCGGTCTTTTGGGGCAGGAAAGATAAAATTCTCCTAGAGGCTAAACAACGCCTCTTTACAACCGTGGGTAATTTGCTAGATGGATGAAACAATTATTTTTGGTCATGGTACATGTATGGCAGGTGTATGAAAAGTCTGCAATAGCATCAGGGCACTTCTGATGTGCCGGAGGCTGCTGTAAAACTACGAAATTCTAAGACCGTAACAGAAGAAAATTCTTAATGATTACCAACACCTATCCAAAAGGTCAGTAATTGTTAACGCTAACAAGTGAAAAGCAACATAATATTGTTATCTCAAGTTTCTCCCAAAGTTCAGTGAAAAGTCTATTAACCAATCTACTTGGCATGAACTTGAGAGATTAATAACTGCAGATCTGTTTTGATCTGGACATGTTCAAAGTTTTTAACATTATACATGTGTTTCTGCTCATAGTACACTTTTGCTTGTAACAAAATAATTACAAATAAAGTATAGTGAAATGATTACACTGACAAAGTAAACAATCTGTTAGGTACATTTTGTACACAGAATAAATTGGAAGATAATATTCATTAAGAATACTAAACAATGACCGCAAATATACTTGAAAGGACAATTGCTTTTTTAACTTGGAATTTAAATGTGGCTTAAATTTACATAGATATTTTCATTTGTATTTAGGATAAAATTTGTGTCCATCCAGGATATTGACTTCATATCAGCAGGAACAAAGAAAAAGCAAATAGACAAAGCAATCTCAGAGATTCACGCGATGCAAAAAAAATAAAACAATCCAAAGGCATAAATTTATAGAATATGATTTGAGATATCCAATACTGAGTTGTTGTCAACAAAAAAATCCACCAAAGATGTGCTTGTTAAACATGCACTTTACAAATATTTCAAAGAATGGTTTCTGACTTGTCATTATATTAAACCAACTGTCAAATGAAAAATGATTATACAAATTAGATTACACTGTTGTTATGATTGTTAATTTATAACCATTTCACATGGAATAAAACCTTTATTGCAGAAAAAGAGAAATTATTCACAATTCATGATTTTATTGATCCTTCAATTATTCTTAGACGAGACAAGTTTTTTTGTAATTTGAATTGCGTAGCTAATAACTGAATTCAAACAGAATGTCCATAAACTTTGATATGTCCTGATACGAGTTTGTTTGCAGTATTTTCCTTAGGTGTATAAGCAGTTTTTATACATGATATTCAAGCTGTAAAATAAAATATACAGGTAACAATTACACATCTGAATGCCAATTAATGACCTTTAGTTAATACTTACACTGTATGTGCATACAACCATATCTTGATAAGAGTGTAGACTGATGAATTTCAGCTACGCATTCATTATGGAGAGGACCACTACATTTAGGGCAATTCAAACCCAATGGAATCGCTTGCATGATACCATCAACTTCAGGAAATAAATTCTTTGGATTCGGCCGTAGTTTTGTTTTCGTGTTTTCATCTGTGTTTAATGGAATCTACCTCGTTGATACTGCTTTTAGCATGTACTGGCTGTACTCTCGTTTATACGCCAGCAGTTCAAGTATACGGTACACACTCTCTGACATGCCTTTGTCCAAACTGTCAGTAATAAGATTCTCCACCCTGTGCACATATTTTTCCACACTGAAGACAGAACAGTGACTTATTTCTGACTGTTATTACTGCATAACCATGTGACGGTACATGAACTGCAAAACAGTCTGGAGCAAAAAAGTTCTCTTGCATAGCTGCACACTGTCAATGCATGAGTAAATAAGTAATATATTTGATTTCCACTGAAAAACTGAAACAAAACACAGACATATTTAATGCTCATGAATTCGTTAAAAATGATATATCAGATAACTAGTGATCTTTATAGAATTCAGAAAAAAGTAATATAATATATGATGATGACGAGTTCACAATGAGTCTTTGCGAAGTCATCAAGTATTATGATTGTAATGTGAAAGAAAATCATTCTATATAATTCTTTCTGATCACTAACAATAATTTATTATACATAGATGCATTTACTACATGCTAATACAACAACATAATACAATGAAAATATGTAAGATATGTAATAATAACACATGACATAAAAATGAAATGTCATGGAATAGAAAGCATAATGACGTTGGTATCAGAATTTAGTTCAAATAGATGTCACCTAGTTAATCTATGCAGAGATCAAATTACTTGATTATTAATATACACAAATTTCAGTCAGAAATGACAAATTGTTGCTAATATTGTTTGGAATATGAATAACTGGCACCAATGTTATAATAGTAAATACTAAATGAAATACAGGGAATGCATCAATCTGTGAAATTATAGAGACTATTAAATGGTTTGTAAAGTGTAAATGTGAGCCTTAATCTCAAAGAAGGCACCATGTCATTAAAATAATAAAATGGTTGAGTTTCAGTTAATGCTGCAACATGTAAGTACATGCAGCAAAAAAATTCCATAAGAAACTGTGAAAATGGAACAATGATTTAAACCCTAAACAATTCAGGAATCAAGGAAAACAAATAATATGACAGGTCCAAGAAACATGTACCAAAACTATATAAAAAAATCTCAGTAAATTACGACTGCTGACACAATATTAAATAATAACACAAATTATAATTAGCCGTTAGTACTTACATCAGATTCTCTGAAGGACGGCTCAGAGTAAGCATGGTCATCTAAAAGTATATACAGTCTATTTTACAAAAGTAACAGAGTCAAATAAATGTTATCAAATGAGTTGAATAGTTGCAATCTTTTTGAGTATGCCAACCTAGTGAATGTTGTTGCTGATATATAGTTTAATGCCATTTTCAGCCAATATTGACAGCCAATATTGATGGTGACGGAAGAACCCTTGAAAACCCTGGAAAGAACCACTTCCCCACAAAAAGCGACTTTCAGGCTTTCTCGTGTAGGCAAGTTAGGAGAGCCTGAAACTAATCCACACAAACAGAGGTGAGATGGCAGTGATATGGAATGGTTAGTGCTTTGAACCACTCATAGACAGAGTGATTGCAACTGTTCAATAATATTCATAAATTTCAACTAAAACAAGAACTAACATAAGGTTTATGCTATAATAGTCTGTGGAGTAAGAAACGTTCCATGCAGAATAATTGTAATGAATTAGTGTTGTTGTTAATGTGCCATATTTCATTTGAATTGGAAAAGAGATTTATATAACTGTTTATATTTTGTGTGCGATATATGGACCCATAGTGGCCGAGTGATCTAAAGCACACATCGTTACAGATCACTGCCATCTCACCATAGCCCATCCTGTGCTGAAAAATTGCGGTAAACCATATGACAGCAACATCTGTGTGAAATATCACAAAGCACAGAAGAGCATCAATAATAAACCTTAGACATCAAGTAATATGCAGGAAAATGCCTGCTCCTTCAATTTGTTAGATAATAAACATTGTTAGCCACAATATTTGAGCATACAATATAAAGAAACTTTGCTTGCTATGGATGAATAACATAGTTCATCTCATGGGTGATAAAATACAGTAAAATTTAAAGATTATACATATATCTTAAGCTAATATCTTCTACATATCTGTGACATGATGAACTTTGACATAATACACAAAACCAATATATTACATCTGTGCTGTAGATAACAATGTCATGTCAATTGTGACAGGAACGGATGTTATGAGACATATTACAGATGCAAAACTTATGACATGTATATATGGACCTAAATATGATACTCATGTGATAATGATATAGACTGTAAAACCAAAATAGTTGTTGTTTTTCTGGGGTTTAACACCATTTTACAGCATATACATGACAGACTATACATGACTGCCAGTATTAATGGTGGAGGAAGAAACCGCGAAATCCCAGAAAAAAACACCGACCCGCAAGAAGCTACTGACAAGCTTTCTCACATATCCACATCCGCCATATCTTAGACTCAAAGTCATGCAGACAGAGGTGAGATGGCAGTGATCCGTAAAAGAGAACGCTATAGACTACTCGGCCACTCAGAGCCCCAAGATAGTTGTAAAATGAGTACTATATGGCAATGGCTAGGATATACTCAAAGAGCTTCTTTCAGAAATATGCCATGAAGGATTTTTTTTAAAGTTCCAAATCCAGCTCACTGCTGCTTTGTCGGTGCGAAGGATGAAAATGGAAAACAACATCTGTCATAAACGCACCATCATCATGTCTGCTAATGAATCATCTTACTTACTCTGTCCATCCGACAAGAATAAGTATGTCAGCATTGGAGAGGCAACTTAGTGATCAGTCCAGCCCGAAAACCGCACATACACCTCACGGTAGAGCGCTCCATCGTCCAGCTGAAATGGTGTGCTGTCAATCACCACTAAAAAATGTGAAATCGGTGCCCATCCTGAACAGATTTTTCCAAACCATTTTTGATGCCTCTGCATCCTTGCAACCATCATAGAAAAAAACTAAACTACTTGACATCATAAATGTACATCTAACGGTAAATAGAGTGCAGTAATATCCTTATCGTCGACCAGGTTCCAACGTTTGGTACTGCCTTGCCCACAATGGGGTGTTCCGTCAATGATAAGGTTCCAAACGATCAATGTGGTATACTTTCGACGGCTATTTTATCGAATTCTTCTAGCGATAAGTCACATCATCAATTTTCTTCACAAAAACAAAGTGGCCCTTCCAAAGCGAGGTAAGTTTCCTACAAACTCCAACCTTTCTAACTGACTCATGTACCAAAAAAACTTGTTCTAATTGTAAAAATCTTTTTTATTGCCCAATCGATCATAATATTTCTTTTGATGTACTGTCCATTGTTTCAGACGTTTCTTGGCTATTTCATGAACCCTTTCAAGCTTCTTCTCTAAGTTACACACATAGTCTTTTAATTCCATAGGTGTATCGATGCTGTTGGGTTGTACAATTACTTCGTGTAGTGGCATGACAACTTCTCGTCCCAAAGTCATCATATTTGGTGTCTGCGATGCGCTTGAGTG